GATATAATTCCAATTAAGTATAGTTTAATTCCATCAACTTTGATTTTCATTACTTCAGGTCTGATTTTGGGCTTTCTGAGTTTCCATTTCTTGCCTTACTAGACTTCCCTATACCGTGATAAATCAGGCATAATGTTGTGAAAAATGGAAATTCCAAAACACCTGTGCTCATGCAGAACCTGTGCATGGGCCAGGAAGCAGTAGTGAGTACATTATTGTTGTGTGTACTGTTACATATGTAGCTGACCCTCTGGCAGGTTTTCAGAGGCAGTTAATCACATGGGAGATTGGCCATCTTTCTCCCATGGAGCAGCTGGTAGCCCCAAACCACGTGCATTTAGCTTGCAGCATAGCTTCTTGCCACTCGTTTTAGATCATGTCCTATACCATACCAGTTTTGTCTGTGTGCTGAGTAAGTAATCTGAGAAGCTGGACTATATGGGAAAGAATATGGCATCAGTATTGGAGGAAGACTCATTAACAGCCTTTCATATACAGATAACACAACCTTGCTTGCTGAAATTTAAAGATCTTGAATCACACTTTCTGATGAAGCTCAAAAACTATAACTTTAAGTATGGATTGCACCACAGCATCAAGAAAACAAAAACATTATGATAAATGAAAAAAGATTAAATTTGCCAAAAGTTCCATTTTACCTGGATACACAGTAAATGTCCGTGCAAGCAGCAGTTGAGAGATAAAATTACATGTTGGATGCTTATTGCTTTATATATGTGCATGTGATAGTTGGACTATGAGTAAAGATGACCAGAAAAGAATTGATGACTTTGAATTGCAGTGTTGGCAACAAATATTGACAGAAGAACAGATATCATCTGCTTTGGGAAAAGTACAGCCAGAGTGTTAATTAGAAGCAGGAATGTTGACGCTTCATCTCAGTTACTTGGGCATTTTATAGGAGAGACCAAGTTGCTCGAGAACTACATCCAAGCTTGAGTTAGTGACAGAGGGGAGGATCTGCAGTGAGAAGGCAGGACCCGGTGACCGCCGCCCAGGGTCACTACGAGTCAGAGCTGACCTGCCAGCTTCTTACAACCTTCACCACTACCTCTTTTAAACTTTAGATTCATGTTCAGTACCTATTTAGTCAGGATTATCTTGTATTTGTCTCATTTTTAATTTCTGGAAAATTTAAATTGTTCATTCACTTGTTCCCATTCTACAAGGAACTCCTGTCTGCATCGCTTGCTGTTCCACAGCTGACATACATATATCTCACCCATCCTATGCTTCTGTTACTTTATTTATTCAGTGCAGTTGTACAGGGCCACAGGATAACTGTGTTTCATCCTATTTCTTTTCTTTATGTCTTAAGAATGTGAAAACATTTTCAGATTTCTTACATATTCCATGATTTGTGGGGTTTTTTTATATTTCCAATTAAATATAAATATTCTTAAGGCTTTTCTCCTTTCCTTTGATCCTCGTTTTATACTTAAGAAAAATCCCTCATTTATTATTATATCAAATAACTCTTTACATTTTCATCTAGTTTTAAAAATTAGTTTGTATTTTGATTTACTGATTCATTTATATCTGAAATTTAGATAAAAATGCCATTTCCCCCCCCCTTAGTTAGCCAAATATCCTGGCACTATTCTTTAAGTAACAATTCTGTCCATATAATTTTACCATATTATTACCAGCTTATCACATATTTAATTCTTGTTTCTGAGAATCTTGATTTAGTTGTTCTTTTTCAAAACTGTGTGTTTACCTTATAAATTATAATTTCAGTACCATTTCCTTTCTTGCTGCAGAATTTTTCCCGAAAACAGTATTACCTGTCTTATAGCAGAAGTCTTGTTTCACTAATAGTTGCCTCATTGCATTTATTTTTTTTTCTGGGCTAATTATGTTCTGTTTTTACTTTTATTTCACATTCTTTCCTCGCATAGCACTTTTTTCCCTGAAAGGTGACAAATGATTCAATACTCAAGTCCAGTAAACATTTCTATCCTCAGTCTTGGCTGGAAGATAAATTGAAGATTTCCAGTGCTTCATCTATTATGTTGACTTTGAGAGGCTCTCTATCCTTTGCAAAGTAGAGTAACTGGGTAGTAAGTTTTAACATTCTTTTAAGAAAATTTATGAACCTAGCCACTTTTTGAAATTTCCTTCATAGTTTATTAGCTCATTTGGCCTAGGGGTTCCAAAGCTGTGCTGCAATCTCCAAGGAATGTGGTTCGAGTCTACCAGCTGCTCTGTGGAAGAAGAATGGGCAGTCTCCCCCGGTGCAGTTGAATAACTCTGAAAACCCACTGATGAATCAGCTATGGACCGATTTTGACTAGATGAAAAACAACAACAGTGATTTATTGCAAACCTATAACTAAGGGCTATTAATCACATTTAATGATATTTTGTATAAAGTATGGTAGAAAGAACTTGGACCTGGACATTTTTGTGAATGGTACAACTAATTCTGACTTGGAAATGTCCTCTGTCCTCTCTATACATGAGACAATCTGCTTCCATAAATAGTACCGGCCTCGAAAACCCTTGGGTATTTCTGCTCCATCCTTTATAAGATTGTGTTGGTCTGGTCGTCTCGCTCCTGCTCACCCGAAGACTGAGCCTCTCTGTCAGTTCCCATTCACCAGGGCCTCTAAGGGAGACACATGAACAGTCTCTCACGTGATTTACAGCCTCAGAAGCCTGGTAGAGATTCAACGATGAGTCAGCTCTGACTTGACCCCAATGAGAGGATGGGTGGACATTTTAAAAGGACTCAGAAGCAGTGGATTTTGTTTGTGTGATCTGTAGAAAACGAATGAAATTTGAAAAATATACCTGAGTAGTTAAAATGTCTTTCAGTATTTGATTATTTGTAAAGTGAAAGTGACACAACCCTGCTTACTGAAACTGAGGAGGACCTGAAGTGCTTGCTGTAGAAGGCCACGGACTGCAGCCTTCAGTATGGATTGAAGCTCAGCATCAAGAAAACGAAGTGTCTCACCACTGGGCCAATTAGCAGCATTATTATGGATGGTGAAAAGATTGAGATTGTTAACAGTTTTAGTTTGCTTTGCTCCACAGTCAGCACTCTTGTTACCAGCAGTCAGGAAATCAAGAGATGAATTGCATTGGGAAAGTCAGCTCCTCTTCAGAGTTTTGAAGAGCAATGACGTCGGCTGGAGGCTAACATGCACCTGATCCGGGCTGTAGTCTTCACAACTTAGTGCTGTGTGTTGGAGCTGGACAGTACCTAGGGATGATAGAAGGAGAATTGATGCCTTTGAGCTGTGGTGCTGGAGAAGAGTATTGAATATGCTATGGACTGCTAGGAGAACAAACAGATTTATCTTGGAGAGGGTGAAATTGGGCTGCTCCTTAGAGGCAAGGATTCTGAAGCGTCATCTGACACACTTTGGGCATGTTGCAAGGAGGGACTGGTCCTTGGGGAGACACAGCATGTTTGGGAGAGTGGAGGGACAGTGCAAGAGAGGAAGACCCTCAATGAGATGGAGCGATTCAGTAATTGGAGTAATAGGAGTAGGTGTGTCAGGGATAGTGAGGTTGATGCAGGTTAGAGCAGGGTTTAGGGCTCTTGTACATAGGGTTGCAATGAGTCACAAGTGGCTCGACGGCACATAACAACAACAAAGCACATTTAACAATTTTATAGTCAGAATGATATTTATAGATGATGTATCATAGTTTTAATTGGCAATCTTTTCCCTTTATGTATATAATGACACCATCCCAGTAATGTCAGTTTAGGTTTGATGAAATATACTTTCTGAGGTATTGATATAAATGTAGAGCCTCTCTACTATAATATTTTGTTTTAATATAATCTGTATTGAATCCATGTTTTTGGTAATAGTTGATTTATTTTCTGTTTTTCGTCCCCTCTCTTTTTCTGTGACAGTGATTTCTAAGTAAAGGTTATTTGAAGACAACAATATACTGTTAAGACATGAGCTAAGAGGAGGGTAGAGCTTGGAAAGTGGAAGGGAGACCTTGTAGGGTGCCTGTTTTCTGTTGCTTTGTGTAAGAAGAATCCGTGATCCATGGAAGACACAGTTAAAATCTTATCTTCAGTCAGAGCTGCACTAAATCATGGACTTGCTTCTTGAGTCCCATGCATTACATCCTGGACATACTGACCACCAATATGTCCAACACTGTAAATGATCACTCTGGGCAGATTTCTTCCCAGAATGAAGTCAGTGCAGAGAACTGAAACCTGCCTCTTGCTTACATATGTTTCTGGACTGAGATGAGACCTGTGGTCCCTTCATTTCAGAGCTGTGTGGCTGGGAACAGTGCTCACATGTCAGCATCTGTTGACTGTTGAATGACTTAAGTGTTACCCAAGTGGTAACTGGGGCTGTAGTTGAAGCTGGTTATAGAAGTATAGAGCTGGGAGTATAAAGGTAGCTGGGGCTACAGTGACAATGTCAGGACAGGTTGGTTAATTATTACTGAACGTGGAGAGGGATAGACATTGGAAAAGGTCATAGGAACAATGGAAGATCCCAGTCTATGGTGGACATCACTCCAATAGTCAAACATAAAATCTTCTAACTATGCGTAACAATGGTGTGATTTTTCAAGAGGTTTCAAGATGAACCAACTCGGTTCCAACAAATCTGTATTCTTTTCATGAAAATCAAATTGTGGAATAACTGTGCAATCCTGGGAAGGGGAGCAGCTGTAGTTCAGTGAGGAGGAAAAGCAGTCTGAGGATGTGGACGTTTTTCCTCTGGTATATGAAGGTTAAATGGGTAGCAAGCAGAATGCCTTCAACAAGATTGGGATATTGATTAAAACGCTGATTTAACAGCTCACAGTCTCCCCTTGGAAACCTGGAAGAGAGAAGCCAGCTGCTGTCTAAGAGTGCACGCCGTCCGTGGAGAGCAGCCCATCTATCACCACAATATGGTGATGAGAGGTGTTTTATGTTTGTGTTAATTTCCCCCACTAAATCAGTAATTATTACAATCCTGTCCCTGCTGTTTACCCTGCAGCTGTTTTTCCATTTGTCGAGAGAGCGTGTGTTCTCTGAGGACCGCACCCGCTTCTACGGTGCAGAAATTGTCTCTGCTCTGGACTATCTGCATTCTGGGAAGATTGTGTACCGTGATCTCAAGGTAAAAAAAAAAGAAGTAATCAGAATTTGTTTTTGTAGAGACTATAGGGACAAACACAAACTAATTACAAAGTTACACAGTTTAGAGAAAAGTAAATTTAGTTAAGGGGGAAGGTCTAAGAATCCATTTCACTGCATTTGACAGGAAATTTCATTCACTAATGCGAACATGGTTCTTTTTGTCTCAGACTGTGGTGGGCAGAATGCATTCAGCTTCACAGCTCTGGTCAAACATGATCAGCCAACACTAGTTTCTGTTTTCTGTAAATGTTATAATTAGAGACATTTTAGACATTTGTTTAAAGATTAAACAATTTAAAAGTGATCTTTTAAAGCACTTAAGTTTCATTATTATATTTAGCGTCTTTAATATTCTATGAGGAAACTTTCATAATAAATAAGACTTTAATTGGGATGAAAATACTTTTATTTTTGTTACAAACTTTTTGATGGGCTCAGATATCTTAAGTATTTGAATATGGCCTTTCATTGATTTCTTTGCTCCTTTTGTTTCAAAAATCATCAGTAATGACTTGTCTGTATCCCTTTCAAAACTCTTATGTGGTGAATATACTCATAAGCTCCCTGTGATATGAGCTCATCTCTGTCATTGTCTGTCGAGTCACTGTGGGTTGCAGCCAACTGGACAACACATAACAACAACCACCACCATTGTACAAGAATATGACCACTGATGTGGCTGTGTTCCAATTAAACTTTACTCAACAAAAACCCAGTGGACGGAATTTGGTCCATGGGCTGGTTTGCTGACACCTAGAGTCATTTATGAAAGATAATAGCCATTTTCTAGCTATTGGGAGCTCTGATGGCCTGCTGGCAAGAAGCTGTGCTGCAATCCCAAAGGCATGTGGTTCAAATCCACCAGCTGTTCCTAGGGAGAAGGTTGTACAGTCAGCTCCCATGCAATTAACTGCCTCTGAAAACCCAGTGGAAAGCCAGCTGTGGGTCAGTTCCAACTCTTTGGCAACAACAACGAATAGAAAAAGGACCTCTGGTGGCCGAGTGGTAAGGTGTTAGGCTGCCAGGTCAAAGGCAAGCAGCAGGAACATACTAGCTGCTCTGCAGGAGAAGGATAGGCAGTCTTCTCCCTTGCGAGTCACTGCCTCCGAAAACCCACCTGAGGGGCAGCTGTGATTTGGTTCTGACTTGATGAGAAACAACTACAACAACAGACATTTCAAACAGATTCTCACTGACTGGCCCTTCTTAAAAGTGAAAAAATGTCATAATTCTGACCTTTTAACACAAACTTGGTTTTTTAATCAGTATTCATTTAAAATATAATTTCATTGCAAAGACAAGTTACATTATAGTTAAAATTATATGTACGTGCCACTGCATCTTAAAATCTTACATTTCCTGTCATTCTCATCTTGCAGCTTTTTAAGATCTTTAATTTTAAAATTGTCTAATTCCTTAAACTGTGTTTTAGATTATTTGGAGGTGTTTCTTTCATATATCCTTGACTTACAAATAGTCTCACAACTATCTAGCTGACAGTACTGTTTCACACTGTGACTTTGAAATACAAAATGCATGCTTACACAACATAGCATTGATAATGTTTAAAAGAAAGTGAGTGATGTTTAGGAAACTGAGCTGGACAGCCATCGTACACTTAAATGAGAGATGAATAAAAATCAGCAACATGATTATAGTTCTACATGAAGCTTCTTAACACTAGGACTTACAATTGCCAGACTTCAATATCCTAGGATCGGTTTCTTCACATCGTGAATGATTTTATGTTTAAATGTCTTACATCTGGGTAATTATTTTCTTTTTTTTAAGTCTGAGTAATTTTTGAAAGACTTAGACTCCAAAAAGTGCATTCAATTTCCAAATAGAATAGAAATAGCTCTTCTCTGCTTGAGCCCACCTTTCCAATCCTACTGTGTAGCTTATGAATTTAATTTCTAGGGTATGAGGAGAGGGATAAGACAGGAAGCTTTATTTAATTAAACAAGAATGGCTTAGTAACACATTTAGAATGTTTGAAACTAGAAAATATGATTATTAACATAAAGGAACCGAAAGAAAAGGTTCATTTGGTAACAAGCTAAGAAATTATTAAGTTTGTAATGTGGTGGTGGTGGTTGTGTGCTGTTAGATGACTCTGTGTTGGATCTTCAAAGGCAGTTGATCGCACAGGAGAAGATTGCCCAGCTTTCTCCTGCAGAGCGGTAGGTGGATTTGAACCATGTGCCTTCAGGATTGCTGTGCAGCTTCTTACCACTTACCATTATAATTGCAAATAGTCTTGATTAATTATTTCTCACTAAATGAATCAATGATTGTTTTGTATATTAGTTTATTAACTATTTATGATAATAAATTTTAGCCTAATTAAGCTGCAATAGAAACTACCTTTATGTGTGAATGATAGTCATTGAATTAGAATACACATAGACATTAAGTTATTAAATTAGCATACACATAAACACTAACTTCTGTTAAACAACTAAATGGTCTCTTCTCTGTATTTTTTTGAATATAGTTTTAACCTAAACGTCTCCATCAATATATCTCAGATAGAAACTTTATGAATATATACCAAGAAAAAGAAATCTACTGAAATAAGTATTCAAATCTGTCTGAATGTAATTCATAGTACCCACGATTATACCTAACAGAATGAGATTGTTTAGGTAAAGTCATAGGCATTTGGAGCTTGTTCCTGTTTTACGGGTGAGAACACGCAAACCTAGATATCGAGCAAATAGCTTCCTCAAAGAAATGGACCAAGTTGGTGGCACAGGCAGTTGGTGTTCTTGTCATTCCATCACCCTACTTTCCAGAGCCAAAACAAAATCTGAATAGAGGATGCTCTGGATTAAATTCCGGAGATACTGGCAGACCTGTAATACAACTGTGGGAGAATGTTTCAAATGCAATTTTACCATGCATATCTAAAAAAAGTAGCATTGAAAGCTGATTTAAGTTTCAACTTGGAGATCAGTTTAGATTTGCTTCTAAGGTGTCGTTATTAATTGCTTCATTTGTATTCCAATGCACATCCATTTGAGATGCCAGTGGTAGCTTTGTGTTTCAAAGGTAAACTGGTGCCTTATGTTTTGTTGCCACATAATATGTATCATATACATATATCATGTATTACTTCATGTATCTTCATAAAATCATATGAACAAATACATTTTTAAGCCTTTGTTGTACTTTAGAAAGTAAATGTGATAAATTTATCAATTCAGGGTGTGTGATAAAATTTTATTAAAGGCCCAAGATCCTTGAGATAGTAAAAAAGCTATTGCTTCATGGTAGGATAATCATTTTACGAAATCTTTTTTAAGACTTCTATACTGTAATTTAAATTGTAAAACCACTTTTCTGCTTCATTTTTATTTTGCAATGACTTCCTATATTTAAAATGGCCTTATCTATCCAAACATAGGATAGACTGAACAAAATCATTTGCAGAGATTCATATAGTGATACTGGAATTCATTAAGAATTACTTTCTCCAAGAGTTTATAAGAGAGAAAAAAGAACGTAAAGTGTAAATCGTTGCTAGTGCTGGAAGGTGAACCCATCAGGTTGGAATGCACAAAAAAAAAAAATGAGGAAAAACAGCTGAAAATATCCACTAGTATTTGGAACCAGGAATATATGAAGTATGAACATAGGAACATACAAAACTGTTAAAAATGAAATGGAACACAAAGATCAACATCTATGGTATTAGCAAGCCGAGATGGACTGTTACTAGCCATTTTGAATCAGTCATGATCTCTTATGTTAGGAATGAAAATAGAAGAAAAAATGTACTGGGGAGGGGGGTTTAGAGTCAAAAGAGAAATTAAAAATTTATCCTGAGGTACAGTGCTGTGAGTGAGAGGATACCACTCATACACATACAAGGAAGACCTATTACAATAATTATTATATAAATATATGTACCAGCTACTAAAGCCAAAGGTGAAGAAATTGAGGATTCCTGCCAACTTTTCCAGTCTTAAATTGACCATCAAGATGCACTAATAACAGTTAGTGACTGAAATGGAAAAGTTGGAAACAGAAGAAAGATGGTAAGTTGCAAAGTAATATCTTAGTGACAGAAGTGAGGCTGTTAACAGATTTTTACAGTTAATGAGTTATTCATGATGAATACCATTTTAAAACCAACAAACAAGAAATGGTGGCTATGTATAGAGGCCTCAGCTTACACACTACAGAGCAATCATAAATATTGACTGTATCAATGGAAAGACAAAACAAGGCCAGGAATTGACTGGAAGGTCATCAGTTACTGTTGTACAAGTTCAGAGCTCGAGTCTATTTCAATAGAACTTAAAAACCATTTCTAGAACACATTTGGTATATTGAGTACTAATGACTGAAGACCAGATGAATTGTGGGATGACATCAAGATGGATGGGATGGATTCATGAAGAAGGCAAGAATTCATGTAAACACAGGAAAGATAGAAAGAAAAGAACAGATTGGATGGCAGAAAAGACAAGGAAACTTGCATTATAGCATAGAGAGGCCAAAACAAAAGGAAGAAATGCTGAAGTAAGTGAGCTTATTGGGAGATTTCTCAGAACAAGCAGGGAAGACAGAGCAAAAGTGTAACAAAATGTGTGAAGAACTGGAGTTTGGAAAACCTAAAGGAAGCCTCAAACCTTTCTCAAACTGAAAGAACTGAAGAACAAATGCAGGCCTCAAGGTACAATACTGAAGTATTCTGTGGGCAAAATCTTGAATCATACATAAAGTATCAAAAGATGGTGGAAGAAATATACAGAGTCACTGTACCAAAAGAATTTATCAACTCTGAATCATTTGAGGAAGTAGCATATGATGCAGAACTAATGGTAACAAAATGATATTTGAGTTGCACTGAAGGCATTTGCATAAAACAAGGCCCCAGAATTGATCGGGACCAAGTGAAATATTTGTCAACAAACAGAGGCAGCCATAGAACTACTCATTAGCCTATACCTAGAAATTTGGAAGACAGCTAGCTACTTGGCCAGCTTACTAGAAGAGATCCATTTTTTTTTTCCATTACAAAAAAGGAAAGCTAACAGAATATGGACAATACCATTAGTATCACATGCAAATAAAATATTCCTAAAGATTATTTTAAATTAGTTGTTAACATTAGTAGGAATTCAAGCTGGATTCAAAAGAGGCAGTACAAGGGATATTAATTACACTTAATGTCAAATGGATTTTGGTGGAAAGTAGAGAATACCAGAAAGATGATTTCTTGTATTTTATTGATTATGCAAAGACATTTGTTTACGTGGGTGAAAACAAATTCTGGCTAACATTGACAAAAATTAGAATCCCAGAACTCTTAGTTGGGCTCATACAAAACCTTTTGTCAGACAAAGCAACAGTTTTTCGAGCAAACAAGGAAACATTACATGATTTAAAATCAGGAGAGGTGTGTGTCAGAGTTGAATACTTTTTTCATATCTGTTCAGTCTGCATGTCGAGAAAATCATTTGAGAAGCTGGACTTTATGAGGAAAGATGCTCCATAAAAATTGGCTATGACACAACATTGTCTGCAAAAAGTGAAGACGACTTGAAGATCAAAGACTACAATCTTCAATATGAGTTCCTTCTCCCAATTGGGAAAACAAAAATCCTCACCAGTGGGCCAATAAGCAGCAGTCATGATAAATGAAGCTTGGAATTTGTCGATTTAATTTTCCTCAGATCCACAGTAAACATCCTGATAGTAGCAGTCAGGAAATCAAAACACATGTTATATTGCTATTATCTACTATTAAGGATCTTTTCAGAGTTGTAAAGAGCATTGATGCCAGTTTAAAAATGAGATGTGCCTCATCCAAGACCTATTTCAGTTGTTTTCCTGTACATCTCAAAGTTGGTCATTAAATAGGGAAATCTGAAAACTCAGTCTTTGAATTGTGGTGTTGGCAAAAGGTATTGAATGACTGTTCCATCAACTGCTGAAATGTAACGTGTCTATATTTGAGGATATGTAAGCAATCTTGATATTTCCTATTGATCTAATTGTGAAGAGTTTGGAGTTTTTTTGTTTTCTTAATGTTAGGATGTAATGCATAATCTTTGTTTTAATTTCTTTAATCACAGTGTCAGCCATTTATGTAGAAGAATACATAAAACTGTTGTTCTTCCTATCTTTAGACGTTCTAATAGTTAGTGTGGCATGTGTTAGCACAGAGCCCCAGCCTGTGCCACAGCTGAGTTACTGGTGCCGCTGATGGTCACCTCACTCAGTTTATAGTCAGGTGTGACCTGCAGCAACTTGTCCATTTCCAGCTAATTTCCTTTTTACCTGTGTACGAATAAAAAAAGACACTAGAATTTTAATTTCATTATGAGCACCAGCAAAAGCAGAGGGGAACATAGTATTTGTCTCAGCTTCTTGTTCTCAACAAACAAATTGGAGAAAATTTTTTACAGTAGAAACAAATTTTAAGAATCTGCCACTTCCTTAAATAGGCAGGACTATTTGTCAGATAATGCCTGTTAATTTCAACTGAGATTTAAAAAAAATGTCCTTTATCCACATAGCTAATGCTGTTGCATAGTCAGTAAAGCACAGATAAGCACCTTCCTGGTGTCCTCTGGTGGCTGATGTGAAAATGTATACGAATAGTGCAGGGATCACATTTGTGGGACCTGTGCCGTATGTGGTTGGATAACCAGCTTGGCTTAGTGGAAATGACATGGAAGCACACATTCAAGTTTTATTCACTTGTAGTATATATGCTTTAAAGTTTTTTTAAAGAATAAAAATATTTATGTGTTGTAAGTAAATTTTTGTTAGATCTTTGTGTCTTGTTAGGTGTCATCGAGTCAAGTAGAAATAGTGTAAAATATAAAAAAATAGTGTATTAAAAATGAAATTGTTCCACCTTATGTATAGTTGTTGTGCACCATGGAGTCAGAACTGACCCATAGCTGACCCTCCAATAGGTTTTCAGAAGCAATTAATCACACAGGGGGAGATCACACATCCTTCTCCCACAGAGCAGTTGATGGCCTCGAACTGCCTGCCTTTGGGATTGCAGCGCAGCTTCTTGCTAGTAGGCCACCTCAGTATCAGTAAGATACTGATTTATTAGGACAATCAACATTTTAAAAATTTAGGGATTCTTCTGTACATTCTTAGAAACACATTCAACAAATCAATAGATTTTCTGGTATTAAAATCTTTTTTCCTATTATGGCAAGTTTGAAGAGAGAAGAAGGGAATGTTGTTTGAAAAGGAAGGAGACTTGAGGCGGAAGAAGACAGATAAAGGCAGAGAAATAACAGGTAGAAAGGGGAGACAGCAGATTCTTGGTGTTACTGATAGTTCTCAGTAATGACCTGCCTTCATTCCTGCAAATTAGAACTCATTTTTAGATGGTAGTTAGTAAGAAGACAGAGGAAGATTTAAGTAATCTTAATTTGTATAAAATAAGTGAACTTTTCTTTTTTAAAGGTTCAAGAATATAACTGGGGGAGAGGGGGACAAAGAGGAAAATGTGCAACAATGAATGAATGGAAATCCAAGTTTTTTATAAACGTACAATAAAATCTCAATTGAAAAAATAGATATTTGGCTTTTTTAAGACAAATTAAAAATTATTTCTCTGAAACACTCTATAAGAAACATTGAACATTAAATCCACTTTAGCAGATTTAAGTTCTATGCAAAAAAAGGTTATGTGTCATTTAGTCTGTTCATTTGTGATCTGAATTGCTTAACTATTTTGTTTCTGATGTAGAGGACATTTACTGTTATGTAAATGTGATCTACACCAGAAACTAAATAGTTATGATCATTTTATAGGATCACTGTCATGATATTTTTACTTTCTTACAAACTTTTCAGTGCACTGTTTTAAGAAGTACATGAAATATTCTTTAAAGGAAGTTCATTTTTGTTCATCGTGCTAAGATTTTTATTCACATGTATACCTTTTATAGGGAGGTCCGGTCGTGTAGTCCACAGAGAGCCACTAATCCACAGGCCTCACTTTTCTGGAAGTTCAAACCACCAGTGACTCTGAACAAGAAGGATGAGCAGTTTCCTCCCAAGCAATTTAGAACCCTAGAAACCCCCTGGGGGGGGGGGGGTCAGTTATGAGTTGGAACCAACTGGATGGCAGTAAGGGGAAGAGGAAAAGATTTCTTATATATAAGTGGAGCTTGGTGGCTTTGTGGGTAAGGAGTTGTGCTGCTAACCCAGTAACAGAAAGTTCGAATCCACCAGCCAGCTGATAAATAGATGATTGGTAGACTCCTCCCATGGGGTTCACAGATTCTGAAAACCTGCTGGAGGGTCAGATATGAGTTGGTTCCAACTAGATGGCAATGAATTTATATTTTGAGATTTTTTTACGGGAGAAGTATTACTGTGTTTAATCAATGTAGCTGGGCCACATTAGGGTGCTCCTTCTATATAAGGCTGTGGAATCACCAATCAGATAGCACATCTGTCTCTTTTTTATGTTAATTATGATTTCAAATACTATTATCTTAAGGTGCTGGTCTTTTCCCTTATAGACCATAATTTTAACTTGAGACAGATGGTCTTACTACAGTATTCACTTATTTTTCTTGATCTACTGTGTTCAAAGGTATTCTAACTGTATAATATTTGTATCACATATATATTAACTATTTAATTTTAACTGTTCTTTTTATCTTTTAAAGGGCTAATATTTCTTTATTAAAAAATTGCAAAAGAAGCTATCATATTACTTTACAAACTAAGATTTATGTTTGATTTATAGCCACCACCAGTAAACATTTCTGTAAGTGAATATTTTATGATAGCCATAGATTCACAAAAGAAATTGTTGAGAGCCATCAGTATATATCTAAGAAGAAGATGCTCATCTCTTTTTAATTTTTTACATCATACTCTGTTTTTAAAAGGAAAGAAAAAGAACACTGATGTTTGCAAAATTGATTTGGCTGTAGTTTTCAGAGTTTGAGCAGTAATGGTTCTCAAAGCATAATACTCTTCCCTATTGACTTAAAAGCCTGCTTCTCTCATCATGAAGTGTATGGTAAAACATACTTCATTTCACACAAAATTAGTAAGCTGCCAGAGTTGTAAGTTGTAAGTATTAAAACTTTTTGTTAGCTACAATTACATTGTCTTGCCAAAACACCTTATTCAGCATTCATTCATGTTCCAAACAAGCTTTTCATCTTGTTAAAGATTGTACAACAAATTGTGCTGTTTTTCTTAATACACAGTTGGAGAACTTGATGCTGGATAAAGATGGCCACATAAAAATTACAGATTTTGGACTTTGCAAAGAAGGCATCACGGACGCGGCCACCATGAAGACCTTCTGTGGGACCCCAGAATACCTGGCCCCAGAGGTAGGCTTAGCCCTTGTCAGAGGGAAGGAAAAGTTAACAGTATATTTTGTAAATGAAACCACTGAAGAATTTTTGAAACTATGATACCTGCTACTTTTACCTAGATTTCTACATGATTTCAAATTTATTCTGCATCTGTTTGCTTAATAAATAAAATGAATCCTTGTAAGTACAAAGTTACTACTGAAATAGAGCAAGTCAGTTTTTATTACTTTGTTGTATACAATTTGATAATTTATTGATAATTTTCATTTTGATTCCCTTATTTAAAAGAGAATAATTGAATGCATTCACAAGCATGTTTACAGATTTTAAGACCATTTAGGAGTTTCCTTAAAAGTGGAAAAGCAGTGATTATTTGAATTTCTAGTAGTGTGTGCGTTATGCAGATGACACAACCCTGCTTGCTGAAACTGAGGAGGACCTGAAGCTCTTCCTACAAAAGGTCAAGGATTACAGCTTTCAATATGGATTGAGGCTCAATATCAAGAAGACAGAAATTCTCACCACTGCGCCAGTTGGCAGCATCAGGATGAATGGTGACGAGATTGAGATTGTTAACAGCTTAGTTTGCTTGGCTCCACAATCAACATTCTTTGCAGCAGCGGCCAGGAAATTAAAAGATGTATTATGATGGGGAAATCGGCTCTTAGAGACCTCTCTAAAGAACTAAAGAGCAGTGATGTCACTCTCGAGACTAAGGTGTTCCTGATACAGGCCATGGTCTTTACAGTCACTTGCTGTGTGTCAGAGCTGGACAATGACAAGGGATGATAGAAGGAGAATTGATGCCTTCGAGCTGTGGTGCTGGAGAAGAGTGTTGAATATACCATGGACTCCTCAGAAAACAAACAGGTTTATCCTGGAGAGGGTTAAACCAGGCTGCTCCTTGGAGGCAAATATTCTTTTTTTTTTTAATTATTAAATTTTATTAATTTTAATGAACATTTACAGAGATTTTGGGTTTTCATTCATTCATTGTTGCACTGTTTTCTCTATCCTCCTCCCCAGTTCATTCTTCTTTTTTTTTGTTCCCCTCTTGAAAGTCTGTTTTAATTGTCCAGTTGCCACAGTGCTTGTCAAAGCCAGTTCTGATTAATCTCCTTTGTCAGTGTGTCCTTTGCCATTCCCTATCACTCCTCCCTGAGAGAGACTTCACCCTGATTCATAAGGAAAAGGGGACAGTGTATTCTCTTAGCTACTTCCTGCTGAAAAGGGACGCTGTAGGTTTCAGGATGAAGATCTTCTCTCACTACTCTAAAGGGCCCCTTTGGCAATAGGAAACACATAGACTATTATAGAGATTGATTTTGGAATGTAGATGTACTGGTCTTGATTGTGCTTAGCCGTGCATGTTCATATCCTTGAAGATGTATCATGGAAGTGTTGCAGCCTAGAAGACACAAATTTAACTAACAAGTTAAAAGTACATGAGTCAAAAATTAAAAAGCAATAATATTCCAAGTAGAGGCTCTAATAGTGGCACAAATCAAGTTACAGAGGGAAGGTAGTTCTTACAGTAAGTCTATTGACTAGCACTTTGTCTATTATAGTATAAAGGTTAGGAACCACAAGATATAGAGGCTCAACTATGTTATTTATTGTTCTTAAGTCCTGGAGCAAATTCCATCTACCACTGGGTTGTTTTACAGCTCGGAAGTCCGCATGCAAGGCAGAAGTGAAATAAGGAACTGCTTATGAGGTTTTCCATCAATTCCAACAGCTAAGAAATAGAAGAGTTGGGACCTCAGAAGGCTTTTAGGACCAAATAGTAGGCCCTTGTGTCCAGGAGAAAACAAATATACTTACCAGTAATGTTAATGCTCACCCACAGCTCTTCTGGGAGGATCTAAATCATTGAAGCGTCCTCCTTTGTTTCCAGCTGGGAGCTGGGGCCTGTCAGTCCTGTCAGCTACCCTTGGCCAAGTGTCCTTCAGATCCACACTTAAAGCAAGTCAGTGGGAGCTTCCTTTCTACTCATTTGCCTATCTGTGGCTCTCGTCTGTGACACTGTCTACTGAATTGGCCCAGTTTTCCACAGTGAAAGCAATTCTGACCTCCTTTATTACCTTTTGGTGGCACTGTTTATGAGTAAGACTTCCTTTTCCTGACCCAGGCCGTAAACTGGCAGCAATAGCTGCCCCAATAATTTTGGCAGAGGCAAATATTCTGAAGCTTTGTCTCACATCCTTTGGACAGGTTACAAGGAGAGACCAATCCTTGGAGAGAGACGCCATGCTTGGGAGGGTGGGAAGACAGCACAGGAATGGAAGATCCTCTATGAAATGGATTGATTCAGTGACTGGGGTAATGAGGGGTAGGTATGTCAGAGACAGTGAGATTGGCACAGCAGGGTTTAGGGCTGTTATACATAGGGTTGCTGTGAGTCGCAGGTGACTCGACGGCACATGACAACCAGAACAACAGTATTGTGTGCTTTGGTCCGTGATTCTAGCCAGTTCTTTAACTGGGAAAATCAATGAAACAACAGTAGCTATGTCCAGGGAAGCTCCAGCCACAAGGCCCTTCCTTGCTTAGTGTTTAAAATAATGCATAGACTTGTTTACCCAACTCATGGAGGTTTTGTTCATCTACTTACTTTGTGGGTGTTGCATTTTGGTGCTGAGAAGAATGCTGAACATACCTTGGACTGCCCAGAGAGCAAATGGTAAAATCACGTTGCTTCTTGGAGGCAGGAATGGTGGAACTCCATCTCACATCCTTTGGTTATGTTGCCAAGAGGGACCTGTCCCGGAAAAGGATAAGATACTTGGGAGAGGAGAGAGTCAGCACAGGAGGGAAAGATCCTGGATGAGATAGATTGACACACTAACCATGGCAATGGGATCAGGTATGCTAGAGATGGTGAGATTGGCTCAGGATAAGGCAGGGTTCAGAGCTGTTGTTCATAGGGTCTCTATGAGTTACAGTCAACTCGACAGCACATAACAACAGCAATTCTATAGTAAATAGTAGGTATTTGAGTAATGTGATTACAGGAGCAGAATAGAAAAAAGGACCTTTGCTTTCTAGAAACTTACATCTAAGCTAGTGGTATTGTTAGGGACCTCTAGTGGCTTCATGGTAAGGAATTACACTGCCAGTCCAAAGATACGCAGTTCAAATCTGCTTTTTTTCTCCTAAGGGAGAGAGACAGAATAAACATTTATAACATTGTGTTATATAATTAGTAAGTGCTGTGAAGAGGGGATGATGTGCAAGAGAATAGAAACTGAGTGGTGGTGACTCTTTCTGACGCTGGGCAGCAGACCGCACCTTAACTCAGTGGTGAAATGAGTGCTGGGTGAGTAGAGCCTGCAGGACATGGACAGGGTCTCTACCCGAGAGACTGTGGCTGGAATTGGTTGGAGGCCTCCTTACTCATGTGTGATGGCTAGTGCTGGCTGGGACTTTTCTCTGCTTTGGCAGCAGGAGCATTTACATGCGTCCTCATGGCCTGGCCTCCTTAGTCTGGCTACTCTGAGAATCGGCATAAGCTTGCTTTCTTGGAGCTGGCACATTTGGGCTCTGGACTCTTGTAAAAGCAAGTGTCCCAGGGAAAAAGGTAGAAGCCACATAATTTTTTTCCCCTCCACTTAATAAACCATCAGAAAATGTTTTCAAGAGTAAGATTCTGTGGCTTCTTATATGTTCAGCCTTGACTACTAATTAAAACTATTTCATCACTCCTTAAAAAGAAACCCCATCTTCATTAGCAGTCTGTCTCTACTTGTCTATCCCACAAATCCTGCTGCTGCTGTTGTCATCATCATCATGTGCTGTCATTGGCCCCAGCTCATAGCAACCCTGTGTACAGAGGAACACCCCTGGCCGCCCTGAGCCACACTCATCATATCTGCTGTACCTGAACCCATTGTCAGTCACCATGTCAGTCCATCCCATTGAGGATCTTCCTTTCTTCACCACTCCTCTACTTTTCCAAGGACTGGCCCTTCCCCATAACATGCCCAAAGTATGTGGAACAGAGCCTCACTATCTTTGCTTCTAGGAAGCATGCTGGCTACACTTCATTCAAGACAGAATGATTGGCCCTTTTCTTTGTCTGTGGTATTTTCATTATTCTTCACCAGCACCACAATTCAAAGGCATCAATTCTGCTTTGGTATCTTTTACTCCTTGTCAAACTTGCACATGGAGAAAAACTGATTGGAAACACCTCAAGTGCCCATTGGTTTATAACCCAGAATCCATGCTCTTTAGCAGTTGAAGAGGTGCTTAAATGAAGACTTAAACCCAAAGCAACATGGCATTTGATTTCTTGACTGCAGCTACCATGAGTGTTGATTGTGGATCCAGATAAAATTAAGTCCTTGATAACGTCAGTCTTTTCTCCATCTATGTTGCCTGTTGGTCCAGTAGTGGAATCTGTGTTGCCTGTTGGTCCAGTAGTCAGGATTTTTGTTTTCTTGATGTTGAGATGTAACTCATGTTGAAGGCTATAGTCTTTTGTTTTCTTCGTTAAGTGCTTCAGGTTTCTTCACTTTGTGAAAGCAAGGTTACATAATCAGCATAATGCAGATTGTTGATTAGTCTTCCTCTAATCTTAATAGCACATTCTTCTTCCTGAGTTCCAGCTTCTCAAATTATTTATTCATTGTACCAATTGAATAGATAATGTAAAAAAGGATACAACCCTGATGCAACATTATCAGTGTCAGTGTTCAGCATCACAGCAACCACGAGCTACCTCTGTACAGCAGATTAACAGACCAGTACTATACCACTTTGAAGAATGTGTGACTAAAAACAATTAAAACCAGATCTGAGGGCTGCAGATTAAAATCACCCACCTTTGGCTTGGTAGCATAACTTTCTCTCCACTAGGCCAATAGAGCGCTCTCTAGGACTTACAGCAATTCTGTGAACAACAGGTCTAGACCTTGCCCTATCCTACATCATACCCACAATTCAAGACAAACTGGGGCCCATTGCTACAGTCAACTTATCAATACATTATGTTGAGGATCTTCTTTTCTTCT